GACTATTACCTTTTGTTCATTTTAAAACTTTCTGTGGGCTCTTTGTGATTTGTTTTTCACTTCGAAATTGCGTGTGATGACCTCTTGAAAATTGATGAAAAATATTAGTAGTTTTTGACGGTACTGGGACAGCAAAAGGTAACCTAGAGTCCTAGACCAGGGCTACTCAACTGGTGGACCGCGGCCCGAATCCGGGACCTTTCGGGTATTCGACTAGGACTGCGCCTAATTCTTTATTCTGGATTATTAGCCGCACTTGTGAAGTTTCCTTTTATGAAATCACGTTTTTATAGATTCAAATATATATGAGAATAACTATAACACCATAATAAATAATCTTGATTAGCTAATAATCATAGGTCGGCCGAGGAAGAGCCGGTTTAAGAATGTCGAAATATAATTTCTGGAAAGACCGGACATAAATATTTTTGAAGCGTTGTATGCGGATCTTTGGTAAAAATAGTTGAGTAGCACTGACCTAGACTACCGCACCGCTTTGGTCTTTGTGTCCATATATTTAAGCATCGATCTCTTGTATTATACTATAATTGCTCTGTCCGTATATTTTGATTGAAATACGAATATATATATTCCCAACCTTTGAGCTTTTTCAATTTCTTTTTTGAATTTGATTGTGACATCTTTTCCAATGCTCATGAAATTGAAATTTTCTTTCTGAAAAAAAAAAAACATTAAGATAAGTTTGTCAATAAGTTTACGCAGTTTAAAATTAGCAAGTTATTTCCCTTCGGTCTGTCAAAACATCAGTTTATTTTAAAATGTTAACGTTTTATTTATTTCGTGTAATAAAAGAATGCTTCTGTATCATTTCTCTGGTATTTTATTTGTTAAATATGTTTCCGAATCTTATCATTTCTTTTTCAAATATTTTGTTAGAATAAGTTATTTTTCATAAATTGAATCCGGATTGTTTATTAATTGGAAAAACTGAAAAAAAAAATTTATGATACAAAACAATTTGAAAATTTAGTATAGAGAACCAGCATTTATTAATTCTACTTTTTGTTAATATTCTGGAAATAAAATTGCCTTAAAAACACTTCTGATGCTTTTGGAGATAGAATAGGCTAAATTGGAAAGTTCGGAAATTAGTTTAATCGGGGCCATAAAATATGAAAATACTGTAGTTTCTTTTATTTATTTAAAAAAAATGGAGAAATGTGGCGGTGAATTATGCACCAGTTCCGGTGAATGCTGTGCAATAGTGAATCCAACATTACTGAAATATTTAAAAATAACTCCGGTTAGGCCATAATTTTATTCCGATTTTCTTTATTTTAGTTCGGGGACTGTTTGTGTTTGTGTGATGTAAAGTAGGCGAACAAAATTAGTTACCACCATTTTGGTACAAATACTTCTTGAGCGCCCCATACTTTTTTAAGATACACTGGAATAATTCCAAAATTTGTGCAAAACCTAAAAAAATACCACGAAAAACATTTCCTGCATTCTGCACTCAACTTTCTTTAGCATATATACGAATTGATAGACTCTTGGATTAGACTTCGCTTCACATCAAATAATTCGAATTAAAAGGATTAAAAAATATGTCTCTTGTGACCTTCATTAACTTTAATTATGGCTTAACATCAAAATTGCAACTTCTTTTATTTTTATTCACGAAACGACTAATTACATTGGTAATGTTGGCTTCAAAATTTTTGTCATCTCAATATTCCTTTCGGTGACAAATGAGTTGTCTCGTAATAAAGACATATAAATGGCAAGTATAAAAAGAGACGGTTTATTTTTTATGGTAAAATGTCAGATGGGCACTGCATTGAAAACCCCATAAACGAGAACAATCTTATTTAAAATCTTCAATAAATAATCAATAACCACAAACTATAACATAACATGATTTAGCAATACACAAAAATCTTAACTTTGCTAAGCTGTACTACAAACATCTGACTAAATCTTAAAATAAAATTTTTTTTTACGTTTGGGAATAGTTTAAAACAGGGGTGTGCAACATTTTTTGTCATGTACACAACGAAATAAAATAAACGACAACCAGGGCGAATGCAAGAGAAGAGAATGTAGATGTCGCTTACCCTTGCAGTAAATAAAGGCACCGGGCATAACAGCGGAAGATTTAACGCAGTGAAAAAAAGTTATTAAGTATTTTTATCCATGTGAGCGCCTTTTTAAACATAAACTGTCGGATTAGGATTTTATCCTTGATATGGAGAAATCTGAAAACCGCCGCACTAATGGGATTGGCGGGCCGAATAATGACCCGCGGGCCCTGTTGCACACCGCTGGTTTAGCCATCCAACTTTCGTTTATCTATATTTAATCTATTCTGATACATCACTCTGTTCTATTTGAGAAATGTTTGAAAAACTTTGCTTTGTTTTATTTAGCAAATATTACATGTTGAACATGATGTAAATTGCATTTTGAGTTCTATAATTTTCATTATACAACTTGATGGGATGTTTGATCGAAATACACGAAGTTGCTGTCAGTGATGGGTACAAGCTGTTGTTGTCTTTTTAGACGACTCAAAACTCTTAATACCAATATCTTTGCATTACTTGGACAGTGAAGGGAGCATTAATCTGCCAGTGGGTATGTGACCCACCCTACGACGGTGGAGATTCCATCAGAGGGTATGAATTTTCCAATGTAGGGAGGGAGTGGCTTCTGAAATTTCTAATAGCCAAGTTAGACCATAGCAGTTAGCTAGAGTATGATGGAGAAAAATGCTTTTTTCACATTTCAAAGGGGGGTTCCGGCCATCAACCCCGAAGGCTCCACCCGTGGGTTCCAGCAATCCTATCGCAACTGAATATCCCCACGATATTGAAACCTTGGAACGTACACGGTTAATCACTTTAAAATGGCATCCTGGTTCCTAGAGCTCAGCACGTCCGTTGACCCTGTTTCAGGTTTATTTGTTCAGATTAAACCAGACAAATGCAGCAATCAGTTGACTAGATTGCTCAAGTTTAATAGGCTTTTTCCTTTGTTTGATTTGAAGAAGACATGACATTGCGCACTTTACGAATAAACCCAGAACTTTAAACTACCAAGCCAAAATAATAGACTTTTAGCCAGTGAAAGGATTTAAAATTTCAAGAACAGGTTCCCTTTTCCATTAAACTCGCTAAAAACAGGGTTCATTACTTGTACATGTATTTCAGAAAACCGCGCCGCCAAAATCATGGTTCTAAAAACAATAACTATTTCGTTGATTACCTTTTACTCATGGTTATTAACCAGACGATTGCAGCAATCATTTGTAGTTTACTAGGTTGCCTAACCTTAAATTGACTTTTAGTTCAGTTCAGTGTTTTATGAATGACGCCTCAACCAGAGGGCTTTAATCTGTTAAGCAAAATACCAAGGTTTTACCCGGTGATGAGATTCGAAATTCTGAATTCAGGATCTCATTTGTATTGTACTCTGTAACAACAGGTTATTTCATTCCGGATAACCGTTTTTATAGCCCTAAATCAGGGGTGTGAAACTTGCGGCCCGCGGGCCAAATGCAGCCCTGACTGCCCCGCGGAGAAGTGCCCGCGAAACGAGTATTTAATTCATTTCAATCTATTACAAGCGAGTAATTCAAATCATTTTGCGTTACAAAGCCTATACTTGAGTCCAATTTGTTATCTATGCCCATGACGTTACAATGCCCTAATACCTAGCTTGTGCGAAGCGAACAACCCATGTCATAAAATCAATATCTAAAATTTTCTTGTCCTCAATTACTGGAAAGCCAATATTAAATAAATGTGCGACCCGCGGATTTACCCATTTATTTGTATCTGGCCCTCCTGTATTAAAGATTACACACCCGTGGCCTAAATAAACAAGATCGTGTTATTACTTATCGATCTTAAGATCGGTAAGTATATTGATAGGTATTTGTCAGTATGTCTGTCTGTCTGTCTGTGTGTGTGTCTGTTAGATGCACGCGATATCTCACGAAAGCGAGATTGAATCTGCTCCAGATTTTGCATGTGCATTCATCTTATCTCGGACCAGAAGCCTATTGATTTTGAGCGAATTATGTCGTATAATTAGCGAGTTATCAATCAATTATTGATATAGTGATCTAGATTTTTGTAAAGCGAGAGAATTTTGAAACCCGCCGAGTGTGTGTGTGCGATGCGCAGTGCGCAAGTTACAAGAGCGGATGAATCGAAACTGCAATTTCTGTTTTGGGGGATCCCCTAACTATCGATCGATAAGTCTTCGGTTTCCAACCTATATTCTCGTTTCAGTATCAAGGCATTCCAAGAACGTTCTTGCAAGCTCCATGAATGTCACCACAGGTTCTAACCATTTCAATTACGCCTAGGATATATCAGGGTTTCCCAAACTTTCAGGCTCGCGATCCCTTCCAATATATTAAAATTTTCCGCGACTCCCTTTCCCTTACAATTAAAGTCGGCATTGTGATGTAGCCGCCAACTTTCTTGATCCTATATAGTCACTAGAAATCGCGAGATTTATCTTGTAAGCGCTAGGTGTAATAATTGCGTTTCGAATCAAAAGTCTAAAAAAGAATAGTCGATATAGTACTTTGTGTGAAATTGTTGTATTTTTTACGACCGCTAAAATTCGTTGCGTGGGTCCTTTCGGGTTCGCGACCCCCAGTTCGTGAAGCCCTGATATATATTGCATGTATATTGTTATATCACATGTTGCCAATATTATATCGTGTGTTCTCATATTAATGACTGTTCAACAGTTGCAATCTACATGCGGAAGGAAGCGTTTTAATGGCGTATGATGTCATACAATCATACACATTGGGGGCTATGACTAAATAAAGTGTTCCAGCAAACTTGAATGAAATTATGCTTGGCCATATATGACTCATTAATAAACGAGCTTTATGACGACAAGCCAAGCCACGATTTATATGAAAATTGCAAACTTTTTTACAGTGTGAAATTAGAAAGCGTCACCAGGACTTCCTTTCCTATTTTTAGGCCGCTATGTTATGGATTTATAAATTTTTCAATAAATGTTTACTCATATAAAGAGCTCAACTGAGAGTAGAAATAGTATTGTTGGAAGAATTGCATGCTGCTACTGGGAAGGATTTTGTGCTTAGATTAAAATCAATCTGCAATGGAAGCTTTTAGGCTGCTGTTCATGTGCGTTGGATTCGCCACGACAGGTGATTTACGTTTATTATTAATAATTTATTCGCCAGAATGCTCAAGTAATATGGGTGTCGGTTGCGACCAATTGGATATTTTTGGAATCCGAGTCATATTTCCGTCCTATTTTCGAATTTTCCGAGTCGGAGTCATCTTTAAAAGTTCTGCGGGGTCGTAGTCATATTCTCGAATTCTCCGGAGTCGGAGTATTCTTTCCAAATTTTCCGGAGTCGGAGTCATCTTTTAAATTTCTTTGGAGTCGAGTCTTATTCTGAACTTCGTCGGTGTCGGAGACTTCTTCTCATATTCTCCGGTGTCGGATTATTATTTTTAAAATCTCCAGATTCAATGTCGTATTTTCGAAATCTCTGGAGTCGGAGACGTATTTTCAAATTCTCCGTAGTCGGATCCCTTTTTTTGAAATCTCCGGAGTTAGAGTCTCTCCGGAATGGGAGTCCTATTTTCAAATCTCTAGATTTGGATTTTTATTTTCAAATTCTCCGTAGTCGAAGTCGTATTCTCGAATTCTTCGTAGTCGGAGTCGTATTATCAAATTGGATTCCAATTTTTAACCGGATTCGGAGACAGGTGTCAAAGATTTGTCAATTCGTCAATGCAAAGCAAGTTTCCGTGCATTGACTACCCAACTAGACCACAAGAGGTGGCGTAGAGTCGTAGACAATTTTTTCGAGTGGGCTTGAGGCTAATTAAAATAAAAATATTTGTTAGATATGATCTCTACATTTATTTCATTATTTACATTCAATCCACGTACTTTTAACAGTTTTTTTTTTTTTTGAATAAAACATTCCTTTGCATCACTATCATCTGTTTTTTGTGGATTATTGTTAGTTAGTTATTTTTGAGATAGTGCGCCAGATCTGACAAATTCCAAAAAGGGGACGCGTCTTAAAAATTTTGAGTACCACTGGACTAGACAGACCATCTTTGTTATGGCGCCAATTATGCAATGTAGCAATTTAGTTTGATATACCCGATAAATGAATAACTCAAATCTTTCTTTCCTCATTTCTAGTCGATATCTCTGTGAAAGTGGAATTCAGGGGCAGTGCTGTGATGACGTCATACCGCCATGAGGAAACGATCACGGTGCGTAATAATTGTGGATTATATCATGCTTGTTTTGAGGTTTAACCCTTTTGTAAGTGACTCAAGTTTGTTGTTTTATTTTTCAGGCAAAGAATGAGCATGGTGAGATATGGGTTAAATTTTCACATTATTTCCTTTTAGGACATGAATTTAGCTAAGGGAATCCATGTAGACAATTTTTGGGTTTTGTGATTTGAATCTTTTCTGATATTGAATTTTTAAATAAAACACAACTTTTTTCATGTCATTCGAATGTTCTAATCTTTGGTTCTACCTTCGAATCAACTCATTAGAGGTATTCTACTTGAATGAATAAAAAAAAGCATTCTTTATGTATTACGTGAATTTTTACTTAATTGGTGTTCATGTTCGGTGAAAACTTTATGGCCCGCAATGAATTGCTTCATTTAAAAGTGACCCCAACACTAAATATTCAGGAAGTCTGATTTCATGAGGGTAGGATTTGGATTTTTTTTTGCCTGTATTTGAGAGCTGATGTTGGAGTCAATAATTTATCAACCGAAGTCCGATATACCCAACAGAAAAAAAGATATTTTGTTTTATTTTGCGCAGAATTGAGAGAGAAATTGGCTGAAACGCTGGAAAACGCGTTGCTGGATAAACAGATTGATGAAGTCACCATAACAACCAATATCTACCCTGGCAACAAGATTCATTCAACCCAGGTTACCAAGTTTGACGCAACAATTTCAAATGGGCTGGATGAAGCGACTCTCGTTACCAGTACTAGAGGTAATGACATCACTAAAGCCGTTACGTCATCTGCAACTAGAAGTACCAAAGAAGTTCATGACGTCACAACCACAACTGTGCTTGAAAACGTGTTCACAACTCGATCGATCACTTCGATTGCTTCCACTCAATCGCTCCAGAAGTCGACTTCCGCCTCGAGCACAGGTTGGACTAAGATTTCTTTAATTACTCTAAATGACAAAACCGCTTACAAGATTGTCTGACTAGAACAGTGGTTCTCAACCTTTTTTCTTTCGTGGCCCACTTTTGTAGCACAGAAAAATCTGTGGCCCATTATAGGATGGATAGGCAATGTCGGACATAAAATATCAGCGGGTGCCGAATGAATGTAAATAGAGGCTTTGGGATGCGATATCCGAATACGCATACCAATCTACTATGTTAGCGTTGGAGTTCACCCATTTACAGCCCAACTGTGTCAGCCCTGTTTCCTCCGCCTAACCCGGTGCATCAATAATGAAGTAGGAGTAACCGTCACCTAACCCAGTGTGTCATAAATTATGTTGGCTATGTTAAACCATGAAGATTCGATTCTATCCGAAACATGGTAGCAGAATGATGCTTGCAAAGCGTTTTGTTCAGAGTGAGAGTCTATGAAATAAACAAAAATACCTTCTTGATAATTTTCCCCGGATTACTAATTCTGTAGATTGTGAATTTTGTTTTCAGAGAACGGTGGCTTCATTTACGATTCAAAATATTTCCGAGCGGTCTTTTATGGCACACGGGGCGTCACTTTAGGAATTGCAGAATCACTTTGCAAAAACAAGTTGGCTAATATTTATGACGTCACACACCTCAATTTGCTGAAAGAATATTTACGCCCAATGATTCCTGATAAGCGGGCATGGATTGGAGTTCGTACTGGAATGTCTTATAAGGTGAGGCGATATATATGTCAAGTCTGACTCACGCTGTTGGAATCATCAATAAAATATGACAGACATGGTCATCACATTTCATTTGCACAGGAATTTTAACTATCTTTGGTATTAATATTGTTATATTTCTTAGAATATATATTTTATTTTTACAGGACGGTAACATATATTTAACCAATGGTACAGAAGTATCTCTGCCAACAGAAGTTTGGTACCTGGGTTATCCGTCTTCCTTTAAATTGAGCACAACAGTTGTTCTTGTAGTCAGTCTAGACACGGAATACAACCAAGTGCTTCAAAATGTTACTCCAAACTTGATTTCTACCAACAGGGTTTATTTCGGAGCCATCTGTGAAACTGAAATATAACTTTGAACATTGACTGATTAGTAAAGTAAATAAAGAAAGAAATGATTCACATTCGGAATTAACTCTGTCCACATATCTAGCTTTAATCAAAACTTAACTCATCCCATGGTCCCACGGGTGTTTGATGACTACTCGCATATATGGAACTTTTGTTGGTTACATAGGCGTAGCCAGGAGACATTTGCAGTGAGGCATAAATTCCTGCGCCTTTTTCAAAACCATTTTACTCTAATCTTGAACGATTTACTGAAAACTGAATTTTCCTGACTCGCTATTAATAATCCTTTCACCAAACAAGAAAGCTATGCTCAAATATGTGGACACGTAAAGCCACATAATTTTGATGACGTCAAAGCAAAAAAAAATAGTGTTCTGGAAAAAAATTCTATTTTTGACCACTGAAAATTTCAAAGCAATTGGTCCAGTAATCAAAAAGAAAAGCGATTTCTTCAAAACGTATCAAAGAAGAACAAGAACAACAACAAGAACAACATAACAACAAAACGATCGCTATGTCCACTACGTGTCCAATAAACCAACCGTGATAGATGAAAATGTTCGCTTATATACCTTGGAATCTGCATAACTTCGACAGCGAAGTAATTCTGTGGAGAGATTCTTTAAGACATTGTTAGATATCAGTGGCTGCCCGTACGTGCCTTACGAGCGTCGTATTACGTCATTGTAAAAATAAAAATAAAATTTCCAAAATTTTGGGCTGATTACGCTATTAGTCGGGTATACTAATTTAAAAACGAAATAATGCTAGAGTTTGCGTAATGCACGAGGTGTTCCATATTCTCACTCTGGGAATCGTATTCACTAATTTAAAATAGCTAACAGTCATTCTTCGTTTTAGATAGAGATATTTTAGTAAAACTATATTTCGTTTGGTATAGATTTCCACTGGACAAACTTTTTTTCATTTCAGTAGATTGCTCAATAAATGTTTGAATTTATCATTTCCACCCAATTTTACCGCCAAAGTCCAAAGAAAATTTACAATCGACTCTGATCATACTCTGGCGTATATGCAAACCTTCAATAGGCTTTTACGGAAGCTTAATGTTAAGTAAAACGCCTAAATTATATTAAGAGGTTTTGAATTATTTCATAACTTTTGTTCGTGTGGGGCCAAATTATTAGGAAAAAACAGAAAGTAAACGACATAAAAAGGTGAAATGAATTTATTGATTCATATACACAACATTAAGAAAATAAATAAACTAGATACAATATGCAAAATATTCAATCATTTTTCAGTCATGTTAAACACAATTCTGCTATTTTTCGCGGAGCACCAACCAACTCACCAACTAATTGGGAACCGCTGTTATAACCTCTGAAAGGTAGTTTCGACTCCGGTTCCAGTAAACAATGCCGACTCCCCAGACCTGTACTTTGTGGGGTTTGCCATTTTACAATGACTTGTTTCATGCATGTAGATCCCTTTAAAAAACTGGAAATTAAACTATATACCTAACTTTCAGAATATTCAACTATTTTGATATAAACATTCTGGTCATACCGGATTTATATTTCGTAATTTTTTTATTGTATCCAAGAATTTTTTATTATTCTTTTTTCAACCTTTTCAACGACAGAAACCTTACGCTTCTTTGAACGTAATTTCAGTACGATGTTAAAGTTCTAAGGATAACCGTTTTTAGAGCTGTCCCTACGTTATTCTCGCCGGAAATATTTTATGCAAAATTTTCAAATCCAAACAGCCAGTATTACCTATGTACCATAATAACCCAATAATATATTTGCTGGGCGCAAAGTGGATCTGTAGATCGCTTTTATGTTGTTGTTCTTGTTGGTATTTTTCTTCTTGTTGTTATGAAAAAATCGCTTTTCTCATAAACTACTGGATCAATGGTTAAAGATTGTATTTTTCGCTAGAAGGCTACTACTTTTATTTATTTCAAAAATTTCTGTGGGCTTTATAACTATGTGATTTGTTTTTTACTTCAAAATTGCGTGTTGACCACATGGAAATTAAAACAAATTATTTGTAGCGGTTCTTTGACCTCTTTCAAGCTACTCTTGTGCTATGCAAAAGTCGGAAGTTTTTTAACAGTACCGGCACTGCAAAAGGTAACGTAGACTACCGCATCGCTTTGGTCTTCGTGTTCATATATTTAAGCATCGCTATCTTATAGTATATTATAGGGTGTCCATAAAGTCCTATAATTTTAAAATTTGTCGATACCATATAATATTTTGCTCTTCATAAATGTATTGGATGAAGTAAAAATACTTAAACAATTACTGTTTAAAATAACAACAAACCTGGTGAGAACTGACTTCATAACAAAATTAAAATTCTAAAGAGACTGTATGGACACCCTGCTACGTCTATATATTTAAATAGAAATACTCCTTAGATAGAAAATAGTCATATCTATATAAAGAAATCTTTTATCAATATGATGTTTATTAAGCGCAATTTTTGAGTTTTCAATTTCTTTTTTTTTTGTATTTGATTCTGACATCTTTTCCGATGTTTGTGAAAATAAAGCTTTGTTCCGAAAAAACATTTAAAATATAATAACGAAATTTAAGTTTGTCAAGAAGTTTACACACAGTTTCAAATCTTTGCCATTTTAAATTTATTCATTGTTTTACTTAAAAGTTTTTTTATAGTCTCTAAAAAATTGAGTTTATTTCAAGATTCAAACGTTTTTTTTTATTGTGTGAAACAAGGAATTCTTCTGTATCACTGCTCTGGTATTTTATTTGTTAGATAATTTTCCGAACCCTATTATTTCTTCCTCAAGTATTTTGTTGGATAAATAAAAATACCATAATCTCTTTCCACGACATAGTAAGTACTTACTATTTTGTGGAAGAGATTATGTTATTCCTATACTATTATTACACTATTATGCTACTATTATTATTATACTATTATTATTACTAGTAAGTACTTACTATTTCATGGAACGAGATCATGTTCTTCTTATTTATATTTATAATACCATCTCGTTCAAGCATCCTTGTGGCAACTGACACATACGGATTTGAAGTAGAAAGTAAACAAAGAGAAAGGACTTGCAGTTCAGTACACAATACCCTAGTACACCCCATATTTTGTTGGAATTTATTTTTCATAAATTATAACCCGAACTATTTATTAATTGATAAAATTGAAAAAAAAGAAAATTTATGAAAAATAATTTGAATCTTTAGTGGAGAACCAGCATTTATTAATTCTACTTTTTGTGAATATTCTGGAAATAAAATTGTCTTGCAAAACACTTCTGATGCTTTTTGGAGATATAATAGGCTAAATTGATTTGTTTGAAAGTTGGGAAATTAGTTTAATCGGGGCCATAAAATATGAAAATACTGTAGTTTCTTTTATTTAATTAAAAAAAATGGAGAAATGTGGCGGTGAATTATGCACCAGTTCCGGTAAATGTTATGAAATAGTGAATTCCACATTACTAAAATATATTAAAAATATTAAAAAATTTGGCATAATATTCGGTGCTCCCATAATGTGTGTACCAGGTTAGGATTAGGTCATAATTTTATTCCGATTTTTCTTATTTTAGTCTGGGGACTGTTTGTGTTTGTTTGATTTAAGTAGGCGAACAAAATTAGTTACTTCCATATAGGTACACATACTTCTGAAACGTCCATTACTTTTATAAGATACACTGCTGAAATGTTGTGCATCTGCTGAATAATTAGTGCAAAAACATAAAAAAATACTTCGAAAAATATTTTATGCATTCTGCACTCAACTTTCTTCAGCATATATAGGAATTAATAGACTCTTGGATTAGACTTCGATTCACATTCAAGGATTCAAATTAAAAGAATGAAAAATGTGTATCTTGTGACATTGTAAAGTTATGGAAACTGTAGAATTCACCTCGACCTCTCGACCTCTGGCGGACAGAAAAAAAATATGGCGACGATTCGAAATTTTCGTTTGAACTGATTCGAATAATTTACTATTTGATCCAAATTAAATGGTAGAAAAGATAGCAAATTTAGAAAATTATATAGTTTGTGATTATTCAGGTGAACAATGCTGCACCGCATAGATTTCAGCTCTCCAATAATAGTAGTTCTTTGTGTATCAGTGGGCGCTTATACCGGTCCTTGTTTAAAGAGAAGGTAAGACAAGTCGTATAACAAGAACATCTCATTTGACAACGGCTTTGGAATAATATCGCAAAGTGTAATGTGTAACGTCGCTCCGAAAGTATGTGTACCGTTATGGAGGTAACTAGTTTTGTTCACCTAGTCTACATCAAGTTGTGTGAAGGGACTGAAACCAATGGAGAGGTTGTATTCACTTGGCTAACACAGACAGTCCCCGAATTCGTAATGGAAGTAAAATAAGATTAATCTGAATAAAATTATGGCATAGCCCTAAACTGGCAAACACACTACGGGAATACCGATTCCAATCCTAGTTTGTTCTAATCTAAGATTCTCTTTACTCCTTGTTAGATTAGTTGTCATCATTATCTTTATCTAAGATAAGATAACATCAGCAATGAAAACAGTAATGATCTACATCTATCATTTTAAGATACACGCAATCGATAATTTGTTGTTTGATAGGAAGTGTTCTTTCCTCCTTGTTAGATTGGGAAAATTAAAATTTAATCATCATCAAAGATAAGATGGCATCAGCAATGAAAACAGTGATTTTGTTTATCTTCTGTTGTGTATATTTAAATTGGAGAATGCCTAATAGCCAAACCTAACTCAAAATTAAACAGATCCGGTAATCAGCGGTGAGACAATAACAAGTAAAAGCGTGAAACTGATTACATTACGAATTATAATGAAACAATTGCTTTGTTTGCTAATCAAATAATTCTACATCCACGTGAATTTCACATCCACGTGAATTTCCATTTAAATAGTACCGTGCAACTGATCGCAATATTAATTATAGCAAAACAATTTGCTTATTTATTAATACTAATTCAGTGTAAATTTCATGTATCCCTTACAACTTCAAAATGTGT